GGTTATAAAAAACCTATGGTTTTAAATTTTCGAAATGAAAAAAAAAAATTATAGTTAACCCGAAACAGTAGACAATTTAGAGAAACAGTAGCTCACTCTAATTACTTACGGTTTTGTGGGCTATTTTTGGATAATTACTAATTTTTGGCTATTTTTTATAGGTAATTAGGCAAAATGGCTACAATAGTAATTCTCTCTTTTTCCTTTACGGATTTGTTAATGTTCAAGAATGTATAAATGTCGGCTGAGACTAAATAGATGTGTATCTAGTAAGGAAATTTTTTAGAAATTTAGTACTAAGATGATTGGGAGTGGCTCGCTACAAAGGAGTCACTAGCATCCGCTAGCTCCAATACACACCGCCCCCTAGCGCATGCTAGGGGGCTCACTAAAATGAACTCGCCAGCAGCATAGCGAGATGAGAGAGAAAGAATGAGAAAGTTGTGATTGATGGTTGGGTTTTTGTAACGAATCCTAAATCAAAACAAGAAGAAAGATGATAAACATGTGGGTGATTTTAAGTCTTCACTCCCAAATTCCCACCCTTAAATTGTGATGACTTCTTCTTCTCAATGTAACTTCTTCTTTCACTATTAAAACACAAATGTTGGGTGGTATATATGGATGCCTTTTTATTTATTTTGAATTAAATGAAAAATAATGGAAAGTAAATAATGTTTGGAATACTTTTGAAATATTTGTTAAATTTATTAGTAATTCGATTTAAGTGTTTGTGTTTTAAAAAATAAAATTTATGTAATATGAAATGTTTACGTATTAACAAAATATATAATTTTAGTTAAATTTGTAAAAGAAAATGAAAAAAAATGGAGTGATAGGGTACTACCACTCCATGTGAAATGTTAAGAAATATGTGTTAGTGAAGTGGTAGGCAAAAAATGACATTGCAGTAAAAAAAATGATATGGCAAGGTGTTAGGAGTGGTACCACTCCCTCCAGCCTAATTGTTAAATGTTTATATTCTTATTAAGTTAGGAAGGCCCCACCACATTCCTTCCCCTCACCTCACTGAAACCCCCCTATCTCACGATTCCATCATCGGTGGTGGCACCGAAAAGGTTAATTGTTACTAATTTACTCTACAATACCCTATTTAGGTTTACATTTGTTATAAAATATGATGATGCTTGAAATGTAAGAAACCAACACGAAGAGTAGTGAACACCAAGATATAAAGTGGAAACTCGAAATCAGGAAAAACCACTATGAAATGTCACCCTTATTAAAATGTTACATAACGGAGAAATCTCCAAGGTGAGAGGGGAGAAAGAAGGTGAAGTGTTGGAATGGTTGAAAGTTAACATCTAAATGACTTATAATAACATTACAAGGAGTTCTAAAGAAACTCTAAAACCCATAATTAGCATGAAACTTTCCTACCTATTAGAACTTCACATTACAATCAAGTACCAATAAAAAATAGCCAAACTATGAATACAATGCCACAATAACAAATAAACAATGTAACGTTTGGTTCCTGGTACACATTTTAACCTTATTATTTATTTATTTTGGAAGGGGTATTTGACGAGTTGGTGGTCCTAACTCGTCGACTAAAAGGCGGAAAAGGCGTGGGTTTTAAGTGAGCTACTCGACGAGTCGAAGTCTTGACTCGACAAGTAGGCCAGGCTAGATGAAACCCTAATCTTTGGGGTTTGCACCCTATTTAAGCATCATATATGGCCTCCATTCCACCCTTCATCACCTCCACACCCTAATCAACCTTGAGTGATCTTGAGCTATTTCTTTCCATTTTGTGATTAAAGCTAGAAGAAGGAAGCAAAAGGCTTGTAGTTCCAGAAGGAAGGTCAAGGATCCAAAGCTAAGGACTTATTTCTGTCTTCATAGAGGTATAAAGCTTATACCTTGGTTGTTATTCACATAGATCCCCTTCTTAGCTTGTATGTTGTCATTTTTGGGTAATTTCCAAGGTCATTCCGAGTTTTGGACCTTTGGGGGTGTATTGAGTTCAAATCTGGGCACTCTTGAGCTTTGAAAGCTCAAATTTGCCACCTTTATTTAACCATTGCTCCATTTTATGACTTAGACCTTCATTTTTGTATGGATTGTATGTTTTAGCTTCACAACACCATGCATGCACGTAAAGTTAGCAACTTTACATATAATGCTAGCCTAAGGAGTCCAGATCTATGAGTCAGAAGCACTGGAATGGATTAAAATTAACTGAATAGGGATGTCACATGGAGGAATCGACGAGTTGTTCTTGGAACTCGGCGAGTCGGGTCGTGAAACCTAACTCCTTTTCTGGTTGCGAGTGAAACCATTGAGTTTTGGGAGATGACTCAGTAAGTTGGACAGGATTTGGATTCGGAAGCTGAAGAACTCGACGAGTCCAAAGAGAGACTCGATGAGTTAAAGTCGATATATCTCGATATTATAAGAGGAAGAACTCGACGAGTCTTGGAAGGGACTCGACGAGTTGACTTAGTTGACCTCAGGTCTGAAATTGTTCATGAACTCACCGAGTTAGGAGATGACTCGATGAGTTGGGGTTGACTTGGAGTTGACCTTGGCTTTGACTTTGACCAGGATGTTGACTTTTACCAGGGGTAAAATGGTCATTTTACCCTGAGAAGGATTATCAGGTTTTGACAAAGCATTATGTGTGATTGTATGTGTCGGGGTTAGCCCGATGTAGATTTTATGTTTCGGACTTCGGGATGATGTCGGGGCAAGCTCGACGAAGTTAGTATGCTTGATACCTTTGTGATTCTTGCATGTGTCTGATTATGTGTTCCAGACTTTGGTATGATGTCGGGGCAAGCCTGAGGAATGTTAGCTTTCATGTTATGTTTATGTTATGCTTGTTGATATGATATGTATACCGGACTTCGGTCCAATGCGTGGCAGGCGAGGCCCGATGCAGGGGCTAGGCCCAAGTTACGTCGGACCTCGGTCCGGATTCGTCTGATGTCGAGTGGTCACCGATGCAGTGGGCTAGGCCCAGTATGTGATTATGTGTATGGTATGTGGTAGCTTGGGAGAACTCGCTAAGCTTCGTGCTTATAGTTTTCAGTTTCGGTTTCAGGTACTTCCACTAGCAAGGGGGAAGGGTTCAGGATGATCGCATAGCACACACCACAGTTTCAACCTGGGATGTTTAGACTTTGATATTTTCTTTTATGATTTTGATATAGTATTTATAAATGATGTTTTGAGATACACGACTTATGATTTTCTTTATGATGATGGATGACTTATGGTTTTATTATAAATGATTTTAAAAAGAAATTTTTGGTTTGTATTTTTGGGTTGTTTCAAACAAGTTGAGAACGAGTGAGCAATAATGGATGTATACTCAAACCTACTTCCTTTTAACATGTTCAAGGGCCTGGTAATTGCAAAAAAAAAAAAAAAAAAAAACTTTGATATTGGCTTGTATTATGATCAGCACAAGCCAATGACTACAAATTTAGGATACAATAAGGTCGAGATTAACTTACATGACAAAATGTATATTGAAGTTACTGTAAATGAACACGTGTGCACTTATTCTGTAAATGAGGAACCAACGACCGACCTTAATGGAGAAGATAAATAAGGTTTTGGAGGAATTTCCAATGATTCTAGGTCTCCTTCTAACATTTCCAATACCTTCGTAATAGTTGGTCGACTCAAGGGATTTGTTTGTATGCACCATAAGCCCACAATAATCATTTTTCTTACCATCTCATTTTCTTCATCGCTCATACTCATATGTAGTTCCAAGTCTTCATCTAATTCAACCTTTTTGTATATCCAATGCGGGAAGTATATTTCACTTGTATGATCAACTCCAACCTCAATATTTTTCCTCCCTCCAACAATTTCCAAAATCATCATCCCATAACTATAAACATCTGATTTGTGCGATACCTGCCCAAAACTCCTAGAATAGAGTTCAGGAGCAATATACCCTGGTGTTCCTCTCATATGGGACATAGATATCATGCTTCTTTTCTCGGGGAATAGCTTCGCAAGGCCGAAATCGGATATTTTAGGAGAAAAATCTTGATCCAATAGAATATTATGGGGCTTTATGTCAAAATGCAAGATCCGTGTGTTGCAACCACTATGCAAGTATTCTAAGCCTCGAGCAATTCCGATAGCAATCTCATGCAACTTTGTCCATCCAAGTTGGCTATTACTCAAAAATGTTTGGTCATATATGAACTTCTCAAGTGATCCATTAGGCATGAACTCATAGATTAATGCTCTTTGATGGGCCTCAAAGCAAAATCCTACAAGACTTACAATATTTACATGGGAAGTTCTACCAACACTTGCAACTTCATTTATGAAATCTTCACCATTACCTTTCAATTCGCTTAAGATCTTCACGGCCACTAAACTTCCATTAGTTAACGCTCCTTTATACACCGAACCAAATCCACCTTGTCCTAATTTGATTTCGAATGAGTTTGTCATCCTCTTTACTTGCAAATACGTATACCTTTTCGCAAGAAATTCATGATTTTCTAGAAAGTTTTCCACATTAACACACTTCTTTGTCTTTACACGCCATGAGAGTTTCCATATGAAACTTACGATTATCACAACCATCATTGTCACAAATCCTATACAAAGAGCTGCATCAAACAATGAACGTACAGAAATGCCTTTAAATATTGTTTATTAAATTTCAAAACCTAAATTGAGTAAACAAAAAGTTGTGTATGATAAATAAATCCATGACTTGTGAAATCTCCTATAATATTTGAAAATAACTTAGAATAACAGAATTAATACATGCGACATAAAATAGGTCATTAAGTGATATATATGTATCAATGCTTCCTATGGTGTTATGCATTGGTTAAGTGTTGTATGTATCAATACTTAAGTTATCACTCATTTTGAATCCGAAGTAAATGAAAGTAAGAGACGCTACTATAATTAACTGATTGGGCATCATGTCGTCTGGGTCAAATTGTTTTCTGTGGCAAAATCATATGATGGTCAATATCTTTAATTATGCATCATGTGTGTGCATGCATTCGATCATAAGGTATATTACCTAGAATCTGTTTCTGTTTTCTGTGTCGTTTTTCTGCCGCAACTGAACAACAAAAGATAAGACAGGAAAATTAATTTCACGAATAATCTAGACATATCATTTTCGGTGTACCCCAAAATTAGGAGCAAAGAAAGAGGGAAAAAAAGAGTAATTACCTTTTTTGGTGCCTAAACACTGAAAATGTCCATCGCGAGTATCACACTGGCCGTCATTATTGCGACATTCATCGCAAGAACTTGACAAATTAAATGTAACGGTGAATTCAAAACCAAGAAGAGAAAATATGTCGGTTTTGTCGGGTATTCTGGTGCGATTAAATTGCACATTCACAGGCAGCTGTATGATTTCACATATAGGTGGGAGATGAGTTGGAACTGTTGTATCGCTTATGTTAGACTTATAATAGAAATTGTATGGTTTGCATCTGGTGTATCTATTGTAAGTAGATTGGTTAAAATAAGCATCCATTTCTTCAGCATAATTGGTACTGTTGGTGCATTTGTAGATATTGGTGAAGGATGTGCTTAAACTAGAATACAAAAGAGGAAATGGAGAAGCGAAATTATACGTAAAAGCCTCACACTTTTTATCATTTACAAGTTTTTCAAACTTTCTGTTACGTACAAGGACACACTGCTGAGGTCCAAACTTGCCGCCAACCTCATATGAATCTCCTCTGAATTCCAGATTTGTACCATTTGAAGTACAATTGACCTTAATCAACCCACACTTTGTGTCATTGGCGTTATAGAACGGGTAACTAAATGGTTCCAAATTTTGGCAGCTGAAACTTTTTGGGCAGATAGGAATGGAAGTGTTGTGGTTTGTAGCAGAGTGAAGGAAAGGTAGACATGAGAGAAGAACTGACGCAAAAAAAAATACGAGAATCATTTCAAATGTCCAACAAGGAAAAGGAATTATTAGTTAGACACTTTCTATATATCACTTGTGTTCTTGAGACTTCATTATATACATTAGTATTGTGTATGCACACACATATATATCTTGTACCTCTATGTGTTATCTAGACGAAGTTATGTGAGTAGCATTTAATAAGCTGTCACACTCAAAGACTCAACTTGCCCCAATCTTTACGCCAAAACTATAGACAAATTATCACTTTTCTAATTTTCTCCTTATTGACCAATAACACCATCAAGCACGAAAATATGACTTGGAAAGTTCTAGTGGTTTCCTTTTTACGCCCAATTAATACGTCTCATCAACTCACCATAATTAGTAGTTTAGAATAAAGACATTTTTAGTGTTCTTAAATTTCTATAATATCACGTCATATATATTCTAACAATGTATAAACATAAGAGCAGCGGATATATAATTTTTCACTAACATAGTGATATTTAATCATGAACTTTACTTTAGGGATTAGCCTTGGACCAACAAGTAAAATTGTTTCTTTATGACATAAGCTTTCAAAATAATCTGTGTTTTTGCGGCATCAAAATATAATTATTAATTTTTTTTTGAAACGGCACATCAAAATAGAAATAAGTGTAGGTGTTTTACCATGTGGTCAGTTTCATCATAACTCGTTTGAATTCATAATGGTTTCAGCGTGTTGAGTCTTTTTTACATTGTGATGTTCTTGAGAATTTATTTTTAAGCCTTTGTTAATTATTATTTAAATGGATACATTTAGTTTCTATTCATAATCATAATATTGTTGCCATGTTCCTTATGTTTCTGTCTTATGTTTCTGTTTCAAGAGTCATATTTTAATAGTCCTGATTTTCTCTGACATAACTTTTTCAGCCCTCTAGATAGTGGACTGAAAGGTAACTAACACTCCTAAAACATATGTAGTATGTAATAAGGTGCAGATAAAGTGTTCGATTAGAAGCCCCATTGAACAACTATGTTTACACACAGAATATATATATATATATATATATATATATATATATATATATATATATATATATATATATATATATATATATATATATATATATATATATATATATATATAGGGCTAAGTTATAATGTGGATGGACAACTATTCTGCGAACGCGTGGACAATACTATTCTATGAGAATTACTAAAATAATAAGTTGTTTAGTAATGTGGATACGTTCAACCTCATATAATTACTGTTATTTTCATGCATTCTCACTAATTCTTATTCATTTTTGTTCTCACGCATCGTTTTTCATTTATTGTGAGCCTCTTTCTTTGTTCAGTTGAAAGCTCATTCACATCGGGACAATCCTAAAAGGCTTAGATAATCTAAGCTCATGGACATAATTATATAACGTAAAACAAATTTAAACATTAGCTTTTATGTAAGAAATGCAAGTATAGCTTCAAATAGACCATCATTCTTTAGAAGGAATCTAATAAAAGGAACAAACAAATATTAGAACTCACAAAAAGAAAATAAGGACAACTTTCAACTTTCAATCATGCCTTGACATTTCCACAGCCTCAATATCAGTACATACCTTCTCAATTGCAGTATGATCTGAGATAACTACATGACATTTGCATCCGGAAGCAGGAGCAACAGTTGCAAAACATTTGCATCAAATAAAGATATTATTATTTTATTTTTGAAAAATAACAAAAAGCAGGGGACTACCATAACAGCATAGATAAACTTGGTTATTGTATTATATCAATAATAACTCACGATTACAAGAATATATATATATATATATATATATATATATATATATATATATATATATATATATATATATATATATATATATACACACACTAATACATATTTACACTCTAAACCCTATAATATATAAATGTAATTATATATCGTCTAATAGCCCCTCAAGCAAAGGCCAACTAACAACCTGTAGCTTGTCGCGTAAGAAAATAAATCGTTGTGAGGGTAGAGGTTTCGTGAACGCATCTGCAATCTGATCATTTATGGAGATAAACCGAACCTTTAGTTGACGATGAGTAACCTTCTCTCTAACAAAATAAAATCAACTTCAACGTGTTTTGTACATGCATGAAAGAGGGGATTCGCTGCTAAATACTTGGCTTCTAAGTTGTCACACCATAAAGTTGGACCAGAAGAAGTAACAACACGTAATTCACACAAAAGAGTTTGAAGCTATGTTAGTTCTGCAAGGTAGAGCTTTGTATTCAGATTATATGGATGAACGTGAGATAATCTTTTGTTTACATGCACACCATGAAACAAGATTAGATCCAATATAAATGGCATATCTCCCATGGATTGTCGGTCATCCGAGCAACCAGCCCAATCACCATCAGTGGATCCGGTCAAAAGAGTGTAGGTTGGATCTGTATAGGCATGCAAAATTGTGGCAAATTCGTGTTTAAAAAATAATCCATGAGAGTTAGTACCTTGTAGATATCTGAAAATACGCTTGACAACCGACCAATGGTTTTCATTCGGGGAATGCATGAATTGGCAGACTTTGTTAACAGAAAAAGTAATATATGGACTCGATAAGGTTGCATATCGAAGAGCTCCAACAATCTGGCGATATTTGACCGGATTATCAAACTCTGGACTGTCACTAAGGTATAGGTTTGTAGTAGTGGTGATTGGGGTTGGAACCGATTTGGCATGAGATAGTCATGCCCGCTTCAATGTTTCAAGAATGCACTTCTTTTGAGATAGAAGTAGATCTTGTCCTTATTTAAGTATTTCAGTCCCTAGCAAATAGGATAGAAGACCCATATCTTAAAGTGGAAACGTTTGTCTTAGAGCATGAATAACACTCTCAAAAGTACTAGAGCTATTTCCCATTAAAATAATATCATTCACGTATACCAGCATATATATAAGAATACCCTTTGAAGAATAAATGAAAAATGATGGATCGGTCTTGGATGCATGAAAACCGAGTATTTGCAGGGCAGTAGAGAATCGGTGAAACCATGCGTGTGGTGCTTGATTTTACCCATATAAAGATTTACGAAGGAGACATACATGGTTCAGCTTAGCAGAATCGATAAAACCCTCTAGTTGTCGAAGATAAACAGTTTCATGAAGATCACCGTGCAGAAAATAATTTAGTATATCAAGTTGACATAGTGGTTGCTTTTTGTGTGACAGCAAGAGATAAAATAACACAAATGGTACTTGATTTTATCATTGGATTAAAGGTTTCTTGATAACCAATCCTGTATTGTTGTCGAAACCCCTTGGCAACCAGACGTGCCTTATACCTTGTTATCTTCCCCGTTTGATCTCTTTTTAGTTTATAAACCCATTTGTAGTCAATGATATTGGAATTGGGTGGACGTGGTACCAATGTCCACATGTCATTCCGAGCCAGAGTTGAGTATTCGTCAACCATGGTAGATCGCCATTTTGGATCATTGTGAGCACTTTGAAGGTAGCAGGTTTGGTTTCGATGGTGATATGGGTGTGTTATGTAGTTGCTAGAAATTTGGTAGTGGGTTTAGGATTAGGGCGTAGGTTTGACGGACGAATACGAGGCAGTGGTGAACCGCGTAAAGTTCGTATTAGAAGTGGTTGTAGGGTTGGGTCATCGTTGATAAGTTTGTATTAGTTGTAGTCGTGGGAGGGGTGTTGACGGATCTGGTGATGGATGGGTATCAGTATGATTAGTTGGTTGCGGTGTTGGTGTGGGTGGAGTAGTGGTATTTTGATCATCTGTATTGAGTGGTGGTGTAGGGTAAGAGGAGACATAAGAATTTGCTATTGGTTTCAGTGATGTTGTAAGAGGAACAATGTGGTACAGGAAGGATTGCTCATGAAATCAAACATGTTGAGCAATGTACAACCATTCAGACTAAGGATCGTAGCAACAGTACCCATGATGTGAACTGATATAGCCACGAAACACAGGATATGGATTTGAAATCCATTTTATGTTTGTTGTAAGGAGGAAGATGTGGATAACATCTACAAGCAAAAACCCAAAGAAATGAAAAATTAGGGTATGATTTAACACAACTTCGAAGGGGGATGTATTGGAGTTTGTTTGGGATGGCATACAGTTGATAAAATAGACAACCATCTCAAAGGAAAAATGCCAAAAACGTTGTGGGACATCAGATTGAACAAGAAAAGTAAGACCAATTTCAACCACATGACGCCGGTGACACTCAACAAATCCATTTTGTTCACTTGTGTGTGGACATGAGAGCCGATGCGTGATGCTGAGTTTTGAAAAGAACTAAAAAGTTACAAACCCCCCCCCCCCCATTCAGTTTGAACAGATTTGATTTAAGTTTGGAATTGGTATTCAACAGTGACCATGAATGCTTTGAATGTGTCATAGGTATCATATTTAGATTTTAACGGAAAAATCTACATGTATCTTGAAAAATGATCAACACATAATGGGAAATACTAAACGAAATCAAAGGTGCTAATGGGTGCAGGTCCCCAAACATTACAAAACAATAGATAGTCGGGATTCTCAGGATGTCCTAACTCCCCACCCCCCCCCCCCCACTTGACCTAGACTTCGTCCTCGAAGTCATTTGTAGCAAATAGATTCAGATAATGCTCCCGTATCTCGGGCTCTTGCTCCCAAGTCCACTCGGATCCTTTCTGATGCCGCCACTGCACCTTTACCAGTGGTATCTCCTTGTTGTGCAAAACCTTTATCTTCCTCTCCGATACAACCACCGGCTGCTCCACATAATTCATGCATTCATCAACCTGAATGTCATCTAACGACACTACCGCATCCTTGTCTAATATGCACTTCAGCAACTACGAAATGTGGAAAGTGTTATGAATCTGACGGAGCTCCTCCGGAAGATCCAGTCTATATGCAACCTTGGCAACCCTGGAAATATCCCGAAATGGTACAATGTATTGGGACCCAATTTCCCGTTTTCCTAAAGCGAATCACACCCTTCCGGGGTGAGACCTTCAGTAATACCATGTCAGCCAACTG